TCGGTTTTTTGAACCACGAGTCATCAATCTTTCTGGCTGCATCACCGGTAGTGACAATTACAACTAGGGCTGTACCGAATATTCGCTTCGTATTCGCTTCGGGGCCGAATAGTGGACCCAATAACTATTCGGTATTCGGCCGAATAGTTGCGGTCGGGCCGAATACGAATAGTGGTTACCTCACAACCGTTTCTGTACTGGTGGAAAAAAAAACTTCAAGACTTCCCACCTTGGTTTATACTGGGAAGCGTTATCTTTGTGCACCACCTACGAGCGTACCAAGTGCCCCTTTATTTCCATCTTGCATGTGTTGCGAGTATAGTGTTTTTAAGGTGTGTTGCTATAGAAACAAAATGCAACACTTTATTGAAAATGTAGGAGGGGCCAGAAATAGCAAGTGTTCTGGTGTTGTCGGCTTGATTTCATTTTGAGTGGAGTGTCCATCTTCGTTGATTCGTTGAAGTTCGTCATCATTTTATTTATCTGTTTCTTTCGTTCGTTGTCTCGTGGAAACGGCAGCGGCTGAATGTTTTGATCGACGTTCGGTTTTCTTGATTGTCGTTTGTTGTTTGATCTTCTCACGTTGGCCGCCCGGCGTCTTGGTTTCGGGAGCTCGCGGGGGGCTGGGCGACTTGTAAGGACGGCATTGTTTGTCTTCGTTGGGCGTTTATTTTTGTTTTTGATGTTTCGCCTTGGCGGGTTTTCATTTTGACTCTCTGTATTTGTCGTATTTTCCTGTTTAGTACAGCTGGAAATACCTTCAGTGAGACAAAAAGCTGGGCCTAATGCTGACAACATGGAACGATGGTTTTTCATGGAGGTGTGTCAGCACACGAACTAATACGTGCTGCAGGAGATCGCAGATTGTGGCGAGGCATAATCGCCCATGCCAGCCGGCAAAGCACATGATGATGATGATTCACTATTCGTATTCGTATTCGGCCGAATAGTTGGTCCAGCTATTCGTATTCGACAGAATAGTGAAAATCACTATTCGGTACAGCCCTAATTACAACCCAAAGAAAACACAAAATTAAGTGGAGAGAAGGTTATTTCTTAAGTGTAGAGTGAAGCACTTTGATTAATTTATATGGTTGAACGGGGTTGAACCAGTTGATATATATATATATTGGGATCTCATCGAGTTCGCTTCATATCCTCCACATCTTTAAGCTTCACGCTATAGTTGCCATCTCTGTATGATTTTGGTATGTCTATATTTCTTTGAACTATCATTTCTAGTGCAAAGACATTTTATTGTTCTCATGTTTCTCCGTGTACTCTGACAAGCCAAGGCGTTTTTTTCCTAACCCCGTAATTAATTGGAATGTATCTGGATCTCTCATAATTCTGCACATTAATGATTCTATTCTTTAGTTTTCTTAATAATTCACCGCATTTTTCTAATTTCGTGTGTGGTGGTAGTGGTGGGGAAAACAGGGGGAGGGGTGGAAGGGGTAGTGGTGGGGAAAACAGGGGGAGGGGTGGAAGGGGTAGTGGTGGGGAAAACAGGGGGAGGGGTGGAAGGGGTAGTGGTGGGGAAAACAGGGGGAGGGGTGGAAGGGGTAGGGGGGGGGGCGTTATTTACTACCACTTGTATTGCTCTCTTCTCATGTACCGGCCGTAAACTCCAGCTGACGATTCTGGCTGTTCGGCCACTTCTGTCCTTAGGTATTGTTCAAAACTTGAGTTATGCGGGCACATCCTTTTTACAGAGCAGACTTATTTGTTTGTTGTTTCCTCGCTTCTTAGGCAGAGGTTATCCGACTTCCAAGGAAAACAATTCTACAGCGAAAAGAAGGGAACAAAGCAACTGTGATGTATGGACCTAGCCTAACTAGTTTTCAAACAACATCAGCTGTAGACAAAAGTGTCAACACATGGTACAAGTTTGTTCAGGGAAAGTCATGAGAAGACTGTGAGTAACACATTCTACTTCGTGAATTTGATTTTATTCTTTATATGTCTAGTAAATTCAAAGCATATTCTAAAACATGAGTCGAAATTAAATCACATTAAAAAAATACCAAGTAAGTTTATGAAAGTACATTTACTGAGTGAAGATGTAACTATTATTTGAATACCTAAAACATTTAAAGCACATTATATCAATATAAAGTAAATATACGCGTGTGTGTGTGTGTGTGTGTGTGTGTGTGTACATATGTGTATATAAAGTAACACAGGTGGTAATGTCAAAAAACTCACTAAATATCTAGACAATTTAGAGTACATTGAACAAATATCAAGTAAATTAGTAAACTTTGAGACAATCTACAAAAAACATATAAATTCAAAGTACATTCGGTATATTTCAAGTAAATTTAATATAAAGGGAAAATATTCAAACTGTCATAACCCAGTTATTTATCAGCTTATTTCAATAAATATTTTGCCCATTAGTTAAAAATTGTATAATTGGGCCAGCCTAATCCGTGTAATCCATGTTGGAAGATATAGGCTAGAATAGCTGTGAGTGCTGCTGTTATTATACACAATAAAGAGGAACTAGTCAAGTCTATGCTTTGTCACAGTTTCCACATTTCGTAGATTTGATCAGGCACGTGAAAGAGCAGCTGAAGAAGGGGAAAAAATGGATAAGAAGGTAACAAAGTGCAAGGTAAAGTATTCAGACAGCTGAGGCATACCCTGGGGATCACTCATAAGCAGCAGGGACTCATTAGATAGAGGATTTTGTGTTAAAGCCTGATCAGTCAGTTACTTTTTCACGATTTTCGCAAAATCACATTTTTGATATTTTATACTACGTTGTACAACAATATCTCAACAAGTTATCAACGTATCGCCTCTAAACGTAACACAAACAAATAGGAAAATAACATTGAAACAGATTCAACTAGAACAAATACAGCAGCCTAAAAACTTTATGAGCTTGTGACATCTACGATAAAACCTAACCTACTAGGGCCCTATTGTGGGCAAACAAGAATAGTTCCACTGCCTACCCAAAAGAATGTCGCTATAGTCGACTAACTGGGAGCTTTTTTCAAAGTCGGAGTACATCTGCCGGAGAGCCAACAGTTTGCATGCACATGAGCCAGACATGTAAAACGGATGGATAGGCAACACTCATTTGCTGTAATAGGGCTAGAGTCCAGAAGTGGTCGAACAACCAAAACTTTCCGCCGGAGTTTACAGCCGGCGAATACGAAGAAGAAGAAGAATTAAAAGTGATTAATCATCACAGAAGATTTTAGTACACTTTACATTATAATGGTTTACAACACTGCATCATTTATATAGGCTAAGTCCTAGGCGTAATAGTTTTCGAGTGTATTAAATCTAGGCATGAAAAATGTTGTCAGTTGTAGAGCTGGCTCAGACCACTGGCCCGCGACGATCTCCATGTTCAACATTTTGGCCAGCGAGAAAACCTAATTGAATAGCTCTGGCGTAGGAGGTTCGTAGGGTGGCCAAGAACAACAAGTATGATCGACTTTCGTGTTGCAGATACATGAATTAACTGCAATTTTACTTACTCGTCCCTATTTGTTAGTACAAAACCATAAACACTTCTGAACGGAAATTAATGGTGATGCTTCTTTCGTAAATGCGGCGTCCGGGGCTTAGGCGTTGCGAATCCGACTCGTAACTCCAAAGTACCGCGATCTAAACCCACTGCTGGCTGCGTGGATTTTTATCGTGGTATGGGGCGTCGCAGGTCGACCCAGCCTAAAGGGGCTATCAGGATGGCTGTCCGGAGGAAGTAAAGACGGTCGGGGTAATGCTGACCATATTACCCACCTATTGGTCTGTAAAAAATATAGGCTTCTCCCCATATGCACGATACGCCTAAAGGCGTGAAAAGGGATCTTTACTTACTTTACTTTTACTTCTTTCGTAAAAAAAATTTTCAATAATATACGTATATCGTGTTTCCACCAAAAGCAAGAATATTGTTTTTATATATTGTACGAAAGCGTCCTCTAATCTCCAGCTTTGAACTTTTCCCATCTGGCCATTATGGCAGGAATAGTATACAAAACTGGATTTGCAGCAGAGTTTACGGGAAGTAGGAGCACTATTGTCCAGCCATAAATCTCACTGCTGACCCCATGACCACCCAATGACATAAGTCCCATAACTCCAACAGGAAACCAAAAGAGAAAATTAGAAAGAACTACAAGGGACAACTGTTTGGCTACTGTTATATCTTCGACACGTCGCGAACGAGGTATGTTACCTGCTGTCTTAGATATTCTATTCTCCGACATGGCACGGAAGATCGCGTATTGACCGTATGCAATGAAGAGAAACAAAATAAAGTTAAAAATAACAAAAACAACAACTGAGTAAATCCAACCTTTAGCTTTTGTGTTTGTTAATGGTAGACCAAGACACATTGCGTTGGATGAATATATGTCAAAACTAAACACAATGGGAACCAGTGCTAGAAGGAAACTTGCCGCCCAAGACACCACAACAGCGCTAATTTTATTAAACTTAGATAATTTCTTTTGGCCAAACGGAAACTTCATCACCAGAAACCTATCTAGAGTGATGAGAAAAACAAAGAACGTAGATGCTTCACAGGAAAGACAAGCCATAAACCCAGCTATCTTGCAGACAACACTGGTCCTCCAGGTCTTGTCATGTAGAACGTAACTGTCACGACAGAAATAATCAGCCCCGGCAATAATGAACAGATACACTCCCATAATAAAGTCAGATATTCCCAAGTTTGTCACAAACACACCGAATCCTGTCTGGAGAACTGATCTATCCCAGATTACACGATACAGAATTACCGTCACATTTCCCAGAACAGCAAGTGATGCTACGACCCAGAGAAGATATCGCTGAACTGAAAGTCCTAGCAGATTAAAACATGATGAAATAGCGTCTCCACTGACAGATGCTATGCACGCGTGCGATGCAATGATTAGACCTTTAGTTTTAGGACAGCAAATCTCAAAATGATCAGTATACAATGCCTGACTTATCTTAAGGCCATGGAATGAGTAGTCATGAATATCTTCAGCAGGAATTCCTCGTAAGTCAAGTGTCTGTAGTGTACGTTTGGAACCGAAATATAGTCCCCTGAAATCGGAAATCAGGGTCTGGCTTAAATTGAGATGCATCAGTCTAGGCAATGCTGCAAACACTGAATCATTTAGGTAGGAAATATTTGTAAAAGATAGATCAAGTATTTCTAGTAAACTGAATCGTAAATCTGTCAACAACCGCAACTCCAGGTTGTATGATAAATTTAGATAATTTATGTATTTATAATGATAATTGTAATCAAGTTCGGAAAATGTTTCGAAAATATTGTAGCTAATATCCAGTTTCTGTATCATAAATGGTGGTGGTTTTTTACCGTTTTTGTCAAGCTTGGGAATATATAATCTTTTGATGTTGCATTTAGACATAATAAGGACTTTCAAATTAAAAGGGATGTCATTCACAAGAAAAGTATTTAACAAATTAGTTTCCATTTCTACCCCTGAGAGGTCAAGATATCTGGTCCGTGTGTCTAAATCAGTTAAAACTGGTTTAGAAAACACTGAGCTGTTATAATCTGATGGCATAACCGTCCCTGCCACACAACGGAAACCTTTAGGGCAGAATTCGTGACAATCGAGTTCATCATCGCCATGCGGACAGTCGGGGCGAACATTACAAACTAGGTCAGGGTGGAGGCAAAGGTTGCTGTCCCAGCAAGCGAAAACTTTGCCAGTACACGGACCAGTAAAGAACAGTTTTTCATCTTCTCCTGAAGGACAATCAGCTTTTCCATCACGCAGATAATGACGAGGAATACAGTACGACTTATAGCATTTCACATATCCGTGACCACACTGGACGTTTTCGCAGTCTCTCAGATGTGACATATCCCTGCAGCCTGTGATCCCGCCGTATCTGTATTTGATATAATGGCACTTTGGAGCCCAGATAAAATGTCCAAATGCATTTCTACAAGTGCTTGCAGGTTCCAGTGCCCCTATAGTCTCATCTAGTGGTCCTTCAGAACCTGTACAGTCTTTGACTCCATCACTGAGTCTCGACTCATCTATACAAGTGTCCCGGTTGCATACTAACGCACAACTCGCGTTATTTTCTAGATACACTTTTGTATTGGGGCTTTCATCACTCAGGAAACAAGTGGTATTGCTATTGTCGTGAATAAAACAATCAAAGTGCCCATCATTGATCCATTGCAGTGGTAGGCACGAACCATCCTGACATAGTAAACTTTTACAATTGTCTTCCATACAGTAATCCTCGTCGCTACCGTCTCTACAATCTTTTTCATTGTCACATATGTAATCAGAGCTGGGTAGACGTTGTCCGGATGTGCATAACAGTGTATCTTCAAGCATTATTTCCCATGGATTCACACAAGACAGTTCGTCACGTTTATTTCTGCAGTGATCAACCAAGTCACATACCATGCTATAGGAAATGTATCTAACGTCCCCGACATCTTCCCCACAGTCAAAAATAGGAAAGTCTCGCTTAGTGTCTCTCAAAAATTGAAGAAACGTCGGGTTTCCTACGTTTGCAGAGACGGAGACAATATTGGTTCGATAGCTCAGATTACGCCATTTTAGAAATTTCAGAGTATCATTTTCAGTTGGATCTGGTATGTTTTCAGTAATCTGTCGGGGCAGAGCAACCTCACATATTGCTAAAGAGAATATTCTCTCTTGACAATAAACATCTGCCCACCCCTCATCTAAGACGAGCTTGGTGATATTCGCGTAAACTTTGGGACTATAGTTATCGTTTACAGGGATATTGGTAAAACGCCATACCCCACAGTCGTTACTAGCGAATGGTCTAGAAGGTTTACCTGGCAACCAGTGATTGATTAACAGTGGATGATATCTTCCCGGAGTGGTCTCCCATTGAAATCGTTTTGCATAGTTACTTACATCTCTGCGAAGTCCAATATGAAAGCTGATTTCAGACACTTCAAATCCTTCATCAACTTCAAGTCGTTCAAGCACTTCAAATGCTATCTTCCTTAGAGACTGCATCTCTTCCACAGTTTCGATTGCTGCTAAGTAACCGCTATAAAAGTTTCTGCACGACTGCGATTGACTAGTCCATGGGTCAAACCCAAAAAAGGGGAAGATTGCATAACAAGAGAGCATATCTGAACTGGTTTTGTGTTGATGGGTATACCAATTGTGACTACACAAGTTGCATATTGCCATTAATATTTGCTGTTCGAATTCCACTAATTCCATGTCGGGAAACACTAAAGTGTCGAACAAGAATACGATTTCCTCCACAAGTTTATTACCAACTATCACAACGAATATCTTCACATCGGCTGCTTTTCGCTGTTCTACAATGGATGATACTTTTCTTATTTCTTCATATGTGAAATTTGTACCATCAAGAAAGACAGTTCCAACTGATTTATCTTTGTCGTGGTAGCTGATTTCTTCGAATAAATGTTCAACATAACCTATCTTTAACTCAAGAATTGTGCTTACATTTCTAGTTATCTCCAGATGTGTTGCATACCCGCCCATGTATGGAGTATCATTGACGAACCCATTTCCACGAAACCATTTGGTGAAATTTTTGGTCCCTGTGTGAGCACTGACCTCATCAACCACTGAGGCTGTGTACCACAAGGCAGATTTTACCAGTCTTATTTGGGAATACAGTTTCTTTATCAAATGGTGCTGCTGCTTCCAGGATATATGGATGCTATCATCCAACAGCGATAGCATGAGTATCCTGCTCTCTTTGCAATCTTGCAAAGGAAAGTTTCCCTGCGTGCTTTCGTGTGCCGCTGTCAGATAGAAGATAAAGGACATGTATAATACAACATCGTTTACATCCATATGTGTTGGTGTATGCCTTTACGTAAGCTACTAAATTGTGTGTGGCTTTGCATAATATAAACTAACACAATAGACAGCAATACAAGAAAATATACACATGTTATAAGACATGTATAGTTGACTGGATCTATCTAGTTATGCAGAGGTAGGCTTTCAAAATCAACCCCGTCATGATTTTTGAATTTTTGCTATTTTAAATTTCATTAGGCAATTTGACGTGTAGAAAGAAGTTTACCATTGCCTACTGATATGACTTGATTTGGCAACAGCTGAATACGATGTGGAAGAGCAAAATCAGCAACGTTTTTATTTTCTCAGTACGAATCCCTGGTATTGTCTATTTTATTATATTGATGACAGAGTTTGACTTTCACTGTGAAATAGAATGGAACATTCAGGCTTTCGAATCTAAATGCCGTGCACACATTTTAGGAACTGTTTATGTAGATTTTTTTTTAAAACTAATAAATAAGTAAGAAATAAAATATACAAATTTGCAGGAAATCATGAGCCTCTCGTAGCAGTTGTTAAATGTCGCGAGCTAGCTCGGTTCAGACACGTGGTGATATATGTTTTGATTGCAACGACTGTACTTCAATGAGCATTAAAGGGAGGGGGGGGGGGAGTTGCAGAAAAGGAGGGCAAAGAAGGAATTTGAATAAAAACATCAAGAAGTACTAAATTTATAGTACACTTGTTCATCAAGCGGAAGACTGAGAAAGTTGGCGGGTTTTTATGCTAATGCTAACAGAGTAAGATACGACATCTTGATGACTGCACTGAAGGACAAGGAGGTCAGTCCATGGCTGGTGAATTGGATTGCAGCTGTCCTGTATTCACGTCGGGTTGCTCTCCGACTAGACTCATGGACCTCAGAACCATGCACTTTGGCCCCAGGACTGCCACAGGGATCCGCCATCTCGCCTGTGTGCTCTTTAACGTGTATACGAGCAAGATTGCAAGCCTAGAAGCACCAGGAGTTGGAAGGATACTGACTTTTGCGGATAATATACTTGCATATAGGCAGGTGGAAGAGAGGGAACAAACAGCCTGGGAGCTACAAGCGACAGTAGACAAAGTGTCTGAGTGGTGTACAGCAATGAGGGCTGTCGTTCACCCTGAAAAGGCGTCTGTTTTGTGGTGTTCTCTGGACAACATAATCGTTAAAGCTAATGTCCCTAGTCTCACGATACATGGTAGACACGTCAACAGAGAGAGCAAACTGAAGTATCTGGGAATTACATTTGGCAGGAGCCTGTCATTTAAGGACCACGTGGAGAGTTGTTGTGACAAGATGCCAAAAATGACTTAGTGCACTTAAGACTATGGCTGCAATTGACATAGAGCAGAGAATGCTTTTCACACTATATCAGCACCTGATCCTGTCAGTGGTGGATTATGACCTGGGACTGCTTACCGTCTCAAAGAGTCAGATGGACAAACTAGAGCGCATACAGAACGCGGCTATGCTGGTCATTTTGGGTTGCACCAGAAACACCACAGTATACATCCTTGGTTTGCCGACTGTTGCAGGTAGGCACAAGGTGCTGCATGCGAAGTCATATCTCAGGGTAGCTGCAGACACAGACCACCCTTTGCATGAAGCTGTGGGTGCAGTTTAGGGTCAGCTGCTGATAAAAAGGAAGTCATGGATGGCTCAGACAGAAGACACAGACAGGTTTGCATCCTTCAGAACATTAGGCGGAAAGAGGAGTGGGTGAAAGTGCCACCTGAACTGTCAGACTTGTGTAGGGTCATAATCACGCTGAGCCGGGAATGCAGAGAATGGCCAGCAGGTGCCACGGGGGTGGAAATTCAGCAATTAATTCAAGATTATTCTCGCTCAATGATTTGATCATTTAGACAGACGGTTCAGTGTCAAGAGGCAAAAGAAGTGCTTGGGGTTTCTTAGAAAAAGGTAATGGTCGACGTTTGGTGCAGGAGAGCCTAGCATATGATACCACAACGTCCAGCTTGAGAATGGAGGTGGAGGCGGTCACTGCAGCTTTCCGCTGGCTAGAGAAGATCAGGACAGACATGCTTTGTGCAGAGTGGCATGCCTCGCTGCGGATGACACGGGTGATTAATATTGTCTGGATTTTGTCACCAGGGTACACCGGTGTGTTGGGAAATGAACAGGCGGACAGACTAGCTGGCTCTGCACAACATGGTGGAATACTGCTACATGATAGGACAGACGTGGTTAGGGCCTTGTTGGAGAGCGTGTACAGTTCGGAGGAGCAGATGGATCACCACAGTCTGGTGAGACTGATGCAGTTGGGAGTGACGAGAGGTTCTGGCAGATGCTTGAGGCTCAGAGGAAAGGCAAGACGGACGTTTAATCAAAAAGCTACTGGCACCATTAGTATTAGAACTCTTTGCTTACTGCTGAGGATGGGGACTGAGCGCTTATGGAAATGCCCCGAGTGCTGTGATGTCGGTTCTTGAATTAAATCAAATCATATGCTAATGCTTTCATCTATACACCTCCACTACCCTAACGGATCAAGGGTTACACTGTGTATTGTTACTGCCTACTGAACATGTTGCTGCCGATACCACTGGTGAAACCAACGCAAGGCGACCTGCTACTAAGTAGCCCGCAGTGTGAGCGTGGGTGGTCTGGGTGGGAAAGAACACGCCGCTCCTTAACAACAAATGTAAAAAAGCGATATATTAGACATGCACTGAAATAAAATATGTTAGACGGAAGTGTGCAGATGTCGCAGCCTTGCTTTAAACTACAATACAATGTGTCAACCGTCTTTTAAACATCTTCCTCTGTGCAGTTTATAATCTATACCTATGACTCCCGAGACTGCAGACCATCTTGCCAGTCTTGCTATTCCACAAATACCTGTGGATTTCTAGCTAAGCACATACCATGCAAGGCTTACTGAAACTGACATACGATAAGAAATGTAAACATACCATCAGCTCCAATACATGTCATCAGGAGAAGGCAACAACATAAACTCGTCTCCATGTCCGACTATCATAGACACTGATAGGTGCTATCGTTAAATGTATAACAATCTAAAAACCAGGTATGATTATGATAAGCATTGATAGGCGCTATTGTAACATGAATAACATTCTAGAAACCAGGTCTGACTATGATAAGCACTGATACGCGCTATCGTAAAATGAATAACAATCTAAAAACCAGGTCTGACTATGATAAGCACTGATACGCGCTATCGTAAAATGAATAACAATCTAAAAACCAGGTCTGACTATGATAAGCACTGATACGCGCTATCGTAAAATGAATAACAAATCTAAAAACCAGGTCTGTGAGATTCAGAAACAAGTAAGATCTCATTGTTAACGTTCATGTCAGTCCAGAGGCATATGTATCTACTAGATGGCGCCAAACGCATCAGCTTATATCCACACGTCTGCTTGTGACACCCCACATATCTCTGATCAACCGTGGTGAGTAGAAATGTTGCAGCCATGAAATTATTTATTTACAACACTTGTTAAATGTCAGTTGTCTTTGTTTTACGTAATAGTAGCAGCGCACATTGTCAGGTTTTTTGCCCTACTCAAACCCACTCCCCCCCCCCCCACCCCCACCCCCAATGGGCCCTCCGCCAATTCTATCCAAATCGGAGTAATCTTTACACTCCCATGCAGTTCACCCTATGTTCGCTTACTGATTTTGTCACTTCGTTCCCTAATTCAGTTGTTTTTTACGCCCGCGGGCGCTATTTTTTGTAAATTCAGTGTAGCAAATTTTTAGTTTTATTGTTGTATTGCGTTCTTAATGTGTGCCTAGTCCAATTCCAAAGTCGTTAACTGACCTTTTGGTCCACTAAAATTGTTTCCAAATTTGATCCCGAAGCTCTCTACATTAGTAATTTTGTGACACCCTTTAATTTCTACTATTTACCACGGGCTGTAGTTAATGAGGGAGCCGTGCCCAAGCAGCTAGACTCACGATTGCGGATTCCAAGATTCTGGGTCCACATACAAACGGAGACGAATTTTGTTTTTTAAATAAACTTGTTTGCCTAGTAGACCCAGCCCTAATAAGTACCAGGTAATGTTTTGGAAAGTAAAGGTGGTCAGCGTGATGTTGACCACATAATCCACGGAGTGCCAATTGCTCTTTACAATGTAAGTCTAGCGCTTTACCTCCAGAACGCCTAATGGCGTTAAAATAGGGTCCGTTTACTTTACAATTTAATGAATATTCACATACTGTCCACAAAGGATAACACAACACTACTGCAGTAGTAATAAACAGCTAACTTCAAACTTGTACCAACATTATGTTAGACTGAATTAATAAGGTTTCTATCTTAACACGAAGAAACACTACCACTTGAACAATGTAATTATTTGCATTACATTGAGTTTGCACTTTTATTCAATGTGAATGGGACCTGTTTTTCACTAAGATGTATGACCTTCTCTGGTCTCTGTTAGAGAACGGTATCTTTTGGCATTTATCTGATAATCCGTTGGATTCATCGCTCTAAGGTGGCTTCCCACTCTTCCTGGAGTACAAGAAACAAGCTGTGGAGATTGGCTGGAGCCACGTCTTGCTGACGTACTCGTCTGTTTAGTTCGCCATAAAAGTATTCCATGGAGTTCGTGCCTGATGACACTGCTGGCCACTGTATGGTATGGATGCTGTCAGCGAGGAGTTTGGCTGTGATTTCTCCCAAACCATGTCTAGCGTTACCCTTCTGAAACATCGTCACCAGTACAGACAGAAGTGGCTGAGCGTGAGGACGCAGATTCCCGCAACGTATCGTTGAATATTCAGTCGTCCTTCAATTTGCACCTAATCACTTCTTCACACGAAGGCGGTCACTGCCTGCATTAGTACACCTCTAGCACCATGTGGAGGAGCCTCATCCACTCAGTTCTGGACGCAGCGCTCATGGCGTCTACACTAAACTCTTCTCCGACTTTAGTGAGTTGGAGCACAAAGAATGATTCGTCACTAAGCCACACCCTTCTGCAGTCTTTCTCACTGTCTACTGGCGATGCTGTTTTGCCTCCTGCCAGGTGGTAAGAATAGGAGCTATGATGGATCTTCGAACCCAACAACCAAGGAATTGATCCGCAAAGTCTAGACCGTCAAGCTCAACTATTAAGGTTTACTTAATACTATTTCTTGTGGGCGTCTTCATAATGTAGTCTATAGTCAGTAAAACCTTTAGAGGTAACAAGCTATATTCTAACTGCATATATGTTCTTATATTAAGTACATATAGTAGTTGTCACGTGCGTGCGTGCGTGCGTGCGTGCGTGTGTGTGTGTGTGTGTGTGTGTGTGTGTGTGTGTAGTGTAGTGTAGTGTAGTGTAGTGTAGTGTAGTGTAGTGTAGTGTAGTGTAGTGTAGTGTATCATAGTTCCTAGCCAAATGTTAAAGGAATTCACTATCAATGCTGTTAAAGGTATTTATTAGTTTGCTCTATTGTTAAACGCAGGATGGCTGTCTGGTCAGTTCAGAATCTGTTAAGTATAAACCATCTGTGTTTATTCACTTGTTGCTTCAGTGGATTCTTTTAATTAACTGCTGAAAAAAACATAATCCCATTTAAAATGTGCCATTCTTGCCAATTATGTAATTACTCTTTAAACTGTACACTCCTGCTAGACATATGTTGTTGGCAGTTTCTCTCCAGTAAGTTGATGTCTTCAGGACTTTACTAAATACTTGTAATGTGGACAGAAACAACTCGTTGTGGCCTGATACGTTGAAAGAACAAGAACACTAACTCAACCCTACACACTACCAAGAACAACCCCTTGCAATATTTATCCCCCTCATCTCACTTCGCCTTTTGTATTGCTACATAACTGAGAAGAGTGGCGTTATTTTATCAACATTTAAGGCACGATGTGTTACCCATACTTGTGAAAATGACGGTGTGGATAGAGGCAACTCTCATTGTCTTACTGTATAATTCATTGTCTGAGCACAATTTTTTGAAATTGTCGCTAGCAGGCAGCAACTTTGTTGTTTGATTTAGTAAAAGGGAAGACATCACAACAACAAAAGGATTGTTTGCATCCCTAGTTGCTGAAAAGCCAAGGGAAGAAGGCATAGAATAAGAAGAGCAGGAGCCTGGAGAGTCAATAATGTGTAAAAACTGTGAAAGATCATGTCATGTAATCTCAGAAGTTAGTGCAATTGTTTACTCAACTGTTGCTGATGTATCAATCTAGTATCACAGGTGTTATTTTTTTTTCCATTTGACAAACTGTTTATATATCGTACCGTGACTCATAGATTAGTTATGCCACCAAATATGAGCAAGTTTAGGATACTTTTAAAAATTCAAAGAAATTCCACAAACTATGCTAAAACGTGTCACAGAAAAAAAGATTTCCTAAATTTGATTGTTGCAGAGGATGAAACATGGATTATCCGTCAGATCCCACAACTAAACGCTAAAGTGCTTCGTAGAAGCACACCAACATTGGCTTCACTTTCGACTTTTAAATACATATTTTTTGCCTTTTAATGATGATGATGACTTCCATTAAGCACTTCAGCGTTTAGTTGTGGGATCATGGCAGATAATCCATGTTTCATCCTCTGCAACAATCAAATTTAGGAAATCTTTATTTCTGTGACACGTTTTGATGATGTGTTTTGCGTACTCAACATGCTGATGTTTTTGGTCAACAGACAAGGAATGTGGTACAAACCGGCAAGCAACTTTTTCTTGCCCAAATCTTCCACTAAAATTTTACGAAGGGTCTCTCTATTAACATCCAATTTATCCGCCATCATCCTCACAGTCAAGCAACGATATTCTAATATCCATTCTCTGACTTTTGCAATGGGTTTCTCATTAGGAACAGAAACTGTGTGTCCAGGTCTAGTTGTATAAGTAATCATTTCTACGCTATTTTTGAATCGTGAATACCACCTCAAAATCTGTGCGCGAGATAAACAATCATCCCCATAAATTAGTTGCATCCATTAAACTATCTCAATGGCGCATTTTCTGAGTTTTAAAAATAATTTAATGTTAGCTTTTTGCTCCATACTAATTTTGTAACAATGCACATCTAACTAGGTCAATAAAACGGCGGCTTGTTTGTTGTCTGCTTATCAGGCAGTGATGCAAAGTTGCCAGATCATAGATAAAGTTGCCTCTTTGTATTCTATGCTTTGCTTTATATATGACATTTTTGTCATGGCCAAAAATAAAATCAGTCTCATTACTTTATTGTTGGACATTGTAGAATAAGTGCGTAGGCAAATGTTTCATGTTGAAAATGTGCCATTCGTGTTAAATATGAATCTCAAGCCTGGTGATCGGATCATGGCCAAAAGCTGCTTGTGTTAAAGTTTGGTCCAACTGTGAAGAGAGGACTTCACCCATCTCTAGATAAGTAGACACCGTTCTGCAGCTAACCCAGATACGCAGTGCTTCCATTACCCACATCACAGCGATATCAGGCAGTGGTGAGTTGTGAGGTGTCTTGAGGCATTCCAGGAAGCTGTCAGATCTATTTCAGTAGAGATTCCATTGTGTCACTTATTTGTCTTCTTTTTGACTTCCATTTTTAGAGTCTTACCTATATTATACTGATTACAGTATGTTTGTTGTTCTGAATTCAGATTTGTTAGTGTCATGTCTCGTCCAGTTGTTGTAGATTAGGGTGTTTCTGATAGTATGATTGTCTGTCAGATCCATTATTGTATTACTATGTGACTAGGATAGGTTTGATATCCAGTTTGGGGGCTATCAAGTAGTGAGGGTGTCAGACCAAGTTGCGCTTAGGAATCTTTATAAATTCTCTAGTGCCATAATTTGAGTCGCCTCACACGTGAAGTAGGCTGGATGTTTATTGGGACCGCGGGATTCCGCCTAGAGCAGCACGAGCCAACATTTCAACATAACTACTTCAGCGTGTCTTTGTGGTTCATTAAGGGAAACCCTAATAAAGGAACGTAACGACAACTGTCATGTGACATACAGTACTGACTGTGAAACTGGCCATTCCCTAGCTGCTTCTTGAAGAAATAAATATATCCTTAGGTTACGTTTTTCTAAAACTAAAGATTGTTCCTCACCGGCCCAGCAACCGCCTGCACAAGCTTGTTACAATGGCAGACGTTGATCACGAGGAGACCTTTGAGGGGGCTGATGCTGGGGCCTCACAGACGTACCCCATGCAGTGCAGCTCTCTCAGGAAGAACGGCTATGTTGTTCTTAAGGAACGCCCTTGCAAAATCGTAGAAATGTCTACATCCAAGACCGGCAAATATGGCCATGCCAAGGTCCATATGATAGGAATTGACCTATTCAACAATAAAAAATATAAAGACATATGCCCATCTACGCACAATATGTCAGTGCCTAATGTCGTCCGCCAGGATTATCAGTTTATGAGCCTGGATGGTGATGGTTTCTTGTGCCTAATGGGCGACAGTGGGGAATCCCGCGAAGACCTCAAACTTCCATAGGGTGATGTAGGAAAAGAAATTAGAGAGAGATCTGAAAGAGACGAATCATTCAATGTGACAGTTCTCAAAGTCATGGGGGAAGAAGTTCCAATCGGTTGCAAAAGCGGCCAGGACTGAGTGCCCAACCTTGATTAGACTGCCTCTGACCCACTCTTTACCATTTCCTTTTCAACTGTTTTGATTACAAGAAGGCAAGCATTAGTCGGGAACTATTTTCATCACATCACATGGTATTGACATCTAGCCTCATTACTGCCAGACAGAACGTTTATGTTGTCCATACTGAGCTACTCATTAAATGTTCTGAGAATCAGCACAAAAAAAAAGATGAGATAATTATAATATTTTGAAACAGGTGAATTGATGATAAGCTACAATGTGAATGATTAGAAAATGGGTGGTTAGATTAAATGATGGCTCAAGTGATCTAACAGAATAAAATGCGACAAGATGAAATGATGGAGTATGTAAGATGATGATACATATGAAACCCAGCTGGTGCATTGTTGATTGGCAATTTATGGCTGTAGTGAAGGCCCTAGACGATATGGTAATATAATTTGGATTGTAGCATACCGCATACGCTAGATTTGGGTTTTTCCCTTCTTTTTCTAAGGGTGTAGTGGGATATTTGAAATTGCAGTGAAATAGACAAAAAGATAATGCAGTGAAGAGAAACCACAACTGATAGATGACGTGATACCGTATGCGAGATCGTAACGTTAATGTGATGATATTGATAAAGTGTAATCTGGAAAAAATGGCTTTTATGTGAAATTATTATCCAAAAGAAATGTTAGTGATAATTTGCAGATGAATTGATGGGGAAATATTGCAGATGAATTGATGGGGATATATTGCAGATGAATTGATGGGGATATATTGCAGATGAATTGATCGGGATATATTGCAGATGAATTGATGGGGATATATTGCAGATGAATTGATGGGGAAATATTGCAGATGAATTGATGGGGATATATTGCAGATGAATTGATGGGGATATATTGCAGATGAATTGATGGGGATATATTGCAGATGAATTGATGGGGATATATTGCAGATGAATTGATGGGGATATATTGCAGATGAATTGATGGGGATATATTGCAGATGAATTGATGGGGATATATTGCAGATGAATTGATGGGGATATATTGCAGATGAATTGATGGGGATATATTGCAGATGAATTGATGGGGATATATTGCAGATGAATTGATGGGGATATATTGCAGATGAATTGATGGGGATATATTGCAGATGAAGTGATGGGGATATATTGCAGATGAATTGATGGGGATATATTGCAGATGAATTGATGGGGATATATTGCAGATGAATTGATGGGGATATATTGCAGATGAATTGATGGGGATATATTGCAGATGAATTGATGGGGATATATTGCAGATGAATTGATGGGGATATATTGCAGTCTGAATAACTATAATAAAACAAGTTAGAAATATAGTAATATCACAATGATTAGAAGTTCAGTGGTCACTGGCTAAAAGTACTGAACCCGTTCCTGATCCTTGAACGCTTACCAAACAGGACGTATACCAAACAGGACGTATACCAAACAGGACGTATACCAAACAGGACATATACCAAACAGGACGTATACCATATAGGACGTATACCAAACAGGACATATACCAAACAGGACGTATACCAAACAGGACATATACCATACAGGACGTATATCAAACAGGACATATACCAAACAGGACATATACCAAACAGGACTTATACCAAACAGGACATATACCATACAAACGTATATCAAACAGGACGTACTCCAAACAAGACGCATACAAAACAGAACGTATACCAAACAGGACATATTCCAAACAGGACATATACCAAACAGGACGTATATCAAACAGGACATATACCAAACAGGACATATACCAAACAGGACATATACCAAACAGGACATATACCAAACAGGACTTATATCAAACAGGACGTACACCAAACAGGACATATACCAAACAGGACATATACCAAACAGGACATATACCAAACAGGACATATACCAAACAGGACATATACCAAACAGGACATATACCAAACAGGACTTATATCAAACAGGACGTACACCAAACTGGACGCATACAAAACAGAACGTATACCAAACAGAACGTATACAAACGAATTTTCCCATTAGAAATATAGGGTGAATGTTTAATTCGTTTCCACGAAGAATACAATTGTTTGTTATTGGTAATTATACACTGATGGGGTGGTTTAAAAATTAGAACTGCCTGATGCTAAAATACGTACATGTAAAAGCAATTTAATCAAAGAAATGAACATTTAACCCTACATTACCTGTGAGTGTATGTGTATGCGTGCGTGTATTAACATTACTTTATTTTTGGTGTGTCTCTTGTCCTTACTTGGACCTGGTTAAAGCTCATCAGGTTTGACATTTACTCAACATTTGCGCAAAGAACTTTGCTTCTGCCTTCTGCTCAGGAGGTTTCAGAAATGTGCCATTGTTTGCACATTCTAGACAATGCTATTATGGCTTTAGGGGGCTTTGTTGGGGGGGGGGAAGGGGGGGGGGTGTTTCTCTGTAAAGTTACTGACATCAATATGCGGCTTTGTTGGGGGAGGGGGGAGGGGTGCTTCTCTGTAAAGTCACTGACATCAATATGCGGCTTTGTTGGGGTAGTGCTTCTCTGTAAAGTTACTGACATCAATCCGTGACTTTGTCTCGAATGAGGTAAACAAAAATACCGCGCAGTGTCATGACGGATTTTGACTCATACAGATTCGTATTCCAATCAAAAGTCGTATACCAAGCAACAGTGTTATCGCCTAAACAGGGCATTTACCAAGTTGAACGTATACAAAAAGCAAACGTATACAGAGGTACCACTGTATCTGCATGCACAAGGTGAAATGATAACTAAATAGCGATAATGAATTATATTTACTGGCATGCAATCTAAATTTAAATGCAGAAGTGGCAGATAAATTGTGGTGGTGGAGGTGTAAAAAAAAAAATGGTGAAACAGAGGTACAAATCAATTAATTTAGGCATGCGGTCCATTTCACGATTTAAAGATGATAGATAAATTTGTGGAAGTAAGGGAATGTACTAATTACAGAGGAATATCACTTCTCAGTCACACTGGGAAAATGTATGCTAAGATCATCGAAAAAAGGCTGAGACCATTGATAGAGTAACAACTTTCAGAAGCACAGATGGGCTTTCGACGAAACAGAAGTTGCACAGATGCCATCTATACATTGAGACAACTATCAGAGAGGGCAATAGAACATGATAAGACATGTTTGTTGACATTCATAGACCAAGAAAAAGCCTTCGATAGAGTCGACAGGAATATGTTGTGGGAATGTATGGGGGAAAAAGGAATCAGCAATCATCTCTTTAATATTTGCAAAAGCCTGTACACACGTAGTGAATGCTGCATAAGATCAAAGGCAGGGTTGTCTAGAACTTTTATAGTGAACTCTGGTGTGCGTCAGGGCTGTGTACTATCGCCGCTTCTTTTCATAACATACATGGACGCCATATGTAGCGAAACAGACTTTAATCAGGGAGAAGATATAACAGAATTACTTTTCGCCGACGACCAGGTACTCATAGCAGAAAATATGGAATGCCTACAGAACCACCTAAATCAAATTAGTAACAAAGGGGAGGAATATAATTTGAAAATAAACACTACGAAGACAGAGACAATGATGATAGGAAGACATAAAGACAATTTAGAAATTAAATTAAAAAACAACACCCTGAGACAAACAGAGAAATTTAAGTATTTGGAAGCAATTTTTACTTCAGACGGAAAACTGGACAGAGAAATTAGCTCCAGATGTGCCAAAGCTAATCAAGTAATGGGTCAACTATCTCCCCTGTTGACACACAAGCAGATACCTCAGAGTACTAAACTGAATCTTATCAGAACTATTTTTTGGCCAATACTATGCTATCAGTGCTAAACGTGGACACTTACATCCTCCAATGAACGTAAAATTGTGACAACAGAGATGAAATGCCTTAGAAGAGCTGCAGGAGTTTCAAGGAAAGACAGAATACAAAATCATGAAATCAGACGAATGCTAGGAATAAAGCCAGTCTTACAGGTCATCAAAGAACAACAAATGAAATGGTTTGGACACCTAACAAGAATGCCCTGGTACTATATGCCACAGCGAGCCACACTAAAACGTTACAACAGGTATAAAGCGAGAGGAAGACCTCGGAAAATATGGAGTGATGGCATTAAGAACAGCCTTACAGAAATGAACATCAGTCTTAATAGTGCTCTTGACAGAGCTCATCAACGAACATTACATCTCCCCCCGACACTTCGATGAGGTACAAGGTGGAAGAGAAGAAGAAGAAGAAGAAGAAGAAGAAGAAGAAGAAGAAGAAGAAGAAGAAGAAGAAGAAGAAGAAGAAGAAGAAGAAGAAGAAGAAGAAGAAGAAGAAGAAGAAGAAGAAGAAGAAGAAGAAGAAGATAAATTTGTGACAAATCCAAAATTTAAAAAAAAAAAATTTGTGACAAAGATAAAAACAGTCAATTAGTACTGGCACGTAATCTTATCTGAAAAGAAACAAATATAGGTCGATACGCTATACTAGTTGAACCAATAAAAAGTAGAGAAAATTTTTGAACTACACTATTCACACATATACACACAGAAATGGACAATGTGCAGAGCTATTCGCTACATTAGTGCAACCAATTAAATGACGAGTTCCAAAATGACTTGTCTCAAAATGTTTGTGAAATACCCCTTTTTCAATTGACAATATTATGGTCACACAAATAAATGTACAGTGACCGTTGTTCTTAAGGTAGAACTAACAGCAGTTCTAGTATCAGCAGAAGTAATAACTTTAGTAGTACTGTTAGTTTCAGTAATAGCTAAAAGTAGCAGCAGCAGTAGTAGTAGCAGCAGCAGTAGTAGTAGTAATAGTAGTAATAGTAATGTTAGTAGTAGTAGTAGTAGTAGTAGTTGTTGTTGATGTGGTGGTGGGTGTAGTAGTAGTGGTGGGGTTGTAGTAGCAGTAATAGTAGTAGTAGAAGTAGTAGTAGCAGCAGCAGTAGTGGTTGTAGCAGTAGTAA